CCCCCCCCCCCCCCTCTTTTTTTTTTTTTTTTGTAACTGCTGTGGTTTTCACTAATTGTATTTCAGGTGACGGAAAAAACAAAGGCATTCACAACTCAACCACAGACTTCGCAAACAGAGCAGCGGGCAAAAGCCACACACCAGAATGCACGCCCCGTGATGTCACTGGTGAAGTTCAGAGACAGGCAAACTGAGTCAGGAGCGCGGTGACTTGGGGAGCGGAGCAGTCTGGAAGGGTACAGGGGTCAGGAGAGGGGTCTGCTGAGGGCCTGGGGACGTACTCTTTCTTCATTTCAGCGTGGATATATGGGCGAGTTTGCTTTGTGGAAATTCGAGGTGTGTGATTAGGATGTGGGCACTTTTCTGGAGGTATGTTAGAGTTTTTAAAAAGCGACCTGCCACCCCAGCCCTGGCAAATACCAGCTCCCACATTGAAATATGAGGACCCAAGTAACCAGGCACGCATCTCCTTTTGTGAGAGCAGAGAAAGGTTTTTTTTTTTTCTGGCAGGGCTGATGCCTGCCTAGAATTACATCGCCAGTATCCAGGGCGTGTTCCTGTCTGCAGTCCTGCTCGGCAGCCCTGGGGCAGCTGCGGGACACAGTGCCCTCCTTTGTGCGGCTCTGTTTGTCCAGTGGGGCAGGGCTAATGCTGTGCTGGAAGGTCCATTCAAACCTGTCTTAGGAGAAATGGGGAAATGAGCTCCAGGGGCTGCGTGCCATGGGCCGGGGGCTCCCACAGGCCTGCTGCCCCTTCCCACATATTCCGCCTCGTCTTCAGGAACCCACGGGAAGCAGAGGCAGCAATTAATTCTGCAATGGGGAGAAGGAAGAATCCTTGGAGGAATTTCTATCTTTAAGCCGACTTCTCTAGGGGAGAGATGAAAAGAGTATTTCAAAGTGGAAAGAGAGGCATGGGAAAGTGAAAGTATGTAAAACAAGGTCAGTAAATAAAGCTAGGTTGGGGCTGGGTTCTAGAAAATCTCGAAAGTCCTATGGAGGTGTTTAGGCCTTATAAGCCTGTGCTGTCCAATGGAACTTTCTGGAAGGATACACAAGCTCTCTATCCATCCAATATGGTTGCCAACAGCCACACAAGACTGCTGAACACTTGAAATGTGGAACTGAGTTTTTAAATTCTAAATTTAAGCACTTTAAACTTAAATTCCCAATTCAATTATTGGATAATTTTTATGAGTCTGGGACCCCTTAGGTACATGAACCTACTTTTTCAAAAGCAAATTGCTTTTGATAAACTTTTAGCATCCAATTTGCATATGCTACCAATGTAAAATCTGCTCTGGATTTCAAAAACTTTTAGTAATGTTAATGTGAAATATCTTGTTCAGGATTTTTTATATCAACTGTATGTTGAAATGATAGTATTTCAGATAGGTGGAGTTGCATAAAATATGATATTAAAACTCCTGGCAGCTGTTTCTTTTTAAAACATGACTACTAAAAATTTTTTAATTACCTGTGTGGCTCACTTCCTGGTTCTATGGGACAGCAGTGTTACGGAACAGTGGGAGCTATGGAAGGTCTTAGAGAAGCGGAAAGGTCCAACCCTAGAAAGGGTAAATGAAGCAGAAGTCTTACAAAACAAACCTTGGAAGGCCCCTATGTGTGTGGGTAGAGGGGACAGGGGGCTACACACAGGTCCACAGAGGAAGGTTAATCGGGAGGACAGAAGGGAGTTTACAATACCACAGGACGTCTTTGTGTGCAAACAGGTTAGGGTTTAAAAATGAGAACGACTGTGACCAGTGACTCAAATACTGTCTCCAGTTTCCTCTGATAAACAGGAACAGAAAAGCAGAAGGAGGAGGGAGCACAAACATCAGCCCCAGGGTACGTCTTTATCAGGCTCACCCTGGCAGCACCCACATCTGTTTCTGGGTGGACTGGGCTCCGAGAGACACCAGCGGAGCAGCGTCTGGGGTAATTTACATCCGCCTCCAACGTCAAGGACGCGCTGTCCCTTCGTGTTTCAGGAAGGCAGACCCGGAACTGCCTAACCATTTATTATGAAGACTGAGTCATATAAAAACCACAAGGCGCAGAGAACACCCAACTATGAAAGCCTAAAATAGCACTGCCTGCCGTGGCTGCAGAGCACTACGGGAGGGGAAAATGAGGTCTTGGGGTGCCCTAAATTGTGCACACGGTTGGCTCAGACCTCCGGGAGGCAATGACAACTCCCAGGTGGAATTCCTCTGCTTCAAAACCACTGCCTTGCTCCCCCAAGAGCGAAGAAACGCGGCTAGGAATTGTGTCGTGCAGAGTGAACACAGGCGTTGGGGGCTGGGGCCTTCTTTCCAGGAACCCTAAAGAAAGGAAGGGCCTGGTTCTGGAAATCAAGGCCTGCCCCCAAAACCCAGCCCCCGGTTTATTGGCCCACATTAATCTTTCTTGCAGTCATATCCTACTATTTTCTGTGACGTCGGGACACACTGCCTGTTGGGAGCACCGCTCTTGGATGAAGCAAACTGCATAAACACACTTAAAATTCTGAAAAGAACAGGAGCAACAGTCTAGAATAGCTGAAGAAAAAAAAAAGGCCCATAACCAGCTGGTTTGAAAACTTCTAAATACATTCCACAGCCTCCCCTCCCCAGGCCCCAGGCCAGGAAATGCCACTTCTCAGGACGGCTTCTTTTTGTTTTTGTCTCCCCACTAGTTTCTTTTTAATTTAGCCTTCCCTCTCCCGCCCCAGGGCAGGAGGCCCACCTACCCGCCCGTCCAGGACGATCCGCTCAACACCCCCCCACTCCCCCACTCTCCCCCTAACACGCGTGTCAGCCTCTCCCCGCAGCACAAACACGAGACGGGGCCGCAGGCGCACACACCCCACGCTCCCCGAGAGCCCTCCACGGCCCCGCCTCTGGCCGCCTGAGTACCGAGGCACCGGCATGATTACATCTCCCGTTTGTCCTTTTTCTGGGACAAACTGGGCACCGACTGGAAAGCACCTCTGAGTTTTAACAAAGGGCAGGCCGGTTTTCCCACGCGAAGGCGCGGTGGCGCGACTCCCGTTGGCGGCCCTGGGGGGTTGGGGCGGTCGCCGCAGAGCCCAGGTTGTGCAGTTACAGGGAGTTTTGGCGGGGGCGAGGTGGGGGGCAGAACAAACAAGGGGTCCCCCCCACCGTTGTTTAACGTTGTTACTAGGTGGCTTTTCTCAATTGTCCGTTTAAAATAACATAATACTGAGGATGAGTCTCCGCCCGCCTTCCACCTGCCTCCGCGGAAATCAAGAAAATGCTCGGCTTGGAGGTTTGTTTTCACCATCTCTGAGCGACTCCTTTATTAGCGACTTCCAAATCCAGAAAGAGGCCTTCCAAACCCGTTTTTAAGACACAGAAAATGTGGCCCGGGCCGGCCCCCACGTGTGGGCCCCGGGCAGTCCCGCAGTGACGCTCTGCGGCCGCCGTCTGTAACTCGGAGGACTCAGGATTTCAGGGGCCGAAGGCTGTGTACCGACTGTGCCTGCGTGTTACCGAAAAGGAAAAGGAGGCATTCCTGATTCAAGGCGACCTAGGCTTTGCCTGGGACACTGGCCCATGGCCAGCTGCATGGTCCCAGCCCCCTGCTTTCTCATCTGAAAATATGCCACTTGGAATTTGGGGGTCCCTGCCTGAGAATGCCCTTTGTCCCAAGTCCAACGATTCACTTGGTGCAAGACGCTTTCCAAAGTGGGCAGTAAGGAGTGAGTGGGTATTTATCCCAGGCCCCTCAGGAAAGCGGCTGGGGGTAACTCATTCATGGAACCCTGGTACAGAACAGGCTTTCTCAATCTTGTTTTCATGATAGCTGCCTCCCCAACTATCCTCCCACCCCCGGCCCCCAAGGAGAAAAATTAAAATATAATTCAATTTTTGCCTAACAAGAGAAATTAAATATTAAGAAATAAGATTTCCTTGGGCAGGGTTGAATTTTGGAGGGCCACACACCACTGTAATATCTAAAACGTTTTTTCACCTCTCCCCTCCCCCCAAACCGATTTTCACCCCCCTGGGTCCCGAGTGAGAACCCAAGGTGTGGAATGAGGTATTTGGGTCCAGTGGGTTTCCCAAATCAACATTTATTCATTCGCTTTCTAAAACGGGTCTCCTCCCCGTTCGGTGTCATAAACGCAATCGTTCGAATGCACTTTAAACCTTAACTGACCAAGTCTTGGGGTCCCTTACATCTGCGTATTCTCTTTCAGGCATGATCCAGCCCCCTCACGACTTAACCTCATGAGCCACAAACAAGGGAGGGAGTTAGGCAGGGGGAGGTGTCCGGCCGGGGGACCCTCCCCTCTGGCCGACGGAGTCAGGTGGGCCTGGGCTGGCTGCTGTCCGCTTCCTCCTGCACCAGTCACTCCGCTGGGTCTTGGATCTACATTCAATCTGCTGGGTCCTCACCCCAGAACAAAGTGAAGGGGGCTGAGGGATATCAGCTGACCAGGCCGGTTAAACCTTTGAGTCCAGAGGTCCTGGCCTGAGCAAACCCACCACACATCCTGCTCTTACAGACACCACACCCTGACTCTGGATTCACACCTGCATTAAGGTGAACCGTAATGGGCTCTTTACTGCAATGGGTGCTCTGATTCACACCCTTAAGTGCATCATCTCATGTAATTCTCTTATCACTGAGTCAGGAATTATTGTTTTCACTCCCATTCACAAATGAAAAACTGGGGCCCAGAGAGGTTACACCACTTGTCCAAGGGCACAGAAACACCTACCCCACCTTCAGAAAGAGGTGGGCTGGGGATTGAACCCACGTCCGCTGGACTCTGCAGCTCTTTAGACCTCAGCAACACATCTCTCATGCTGGGAAATTCAGACACGATCAACAGCTTGCTTTTGCACACCTCACTGCCAAATGAAATGTGAAAAGGAAATAAATCTTCAGTGGAAGCAATGCATGTGGGCACCTCAGGAGACACCACCTCTCTTTGCATTTACTGCAGACTCACCCCCACACAAGGCAAGATGACGAAATGCCTGCCTATGATGGATTCCAAGTGATCTTGTCACTGAGGACGTTGCAATCCAGGACACTCTACCCCCTCAGTAAGGGATCAGGAGGCCAGTAGCTTAATGAACAACCAAAGGCAGATGCCACAAAGCTCTTCCTTCTCGTTTTGGGGAGACAAACAAGGGGGAGATCTCAGAATCTCTGAGATGCATTGTCCCTCCAAAGCTGCATATTTAAAGCAATCTACTGCTGCAACACGGGGGAGGGCAGGGCAAAGGCCCCTTGCCAGCTGAGTCTCACAGCAGCTCAGTCTCAGCTTAGAATCGCTCTGCTGAAAGAGGAGCAAAAAGCCCTCAAAATCCCGGGGGCACGCCACACCCGGAGGCCCAGCGATCTTCACCCCCTAAGCTGATACTAATGAACTGATCCTGAAAACTCAGGACGAACTCTGAGAGGGACCTCGCTTCCAGCAACAGATCGGCTCCTAAAACGTTCAGCCTAAACAGTGAGAGAAGGCAGACCCAACAGGCCACATACGGTATGATTCCATTTATATGCAATGCCCAGAACAGGTAAATCCACGGAGACAGAAGGTCAGTTCGGGGTGGCCAGGGGCTGGGGACAGGGTGTCAGTAGGAAATGGGGAGTGACTCTTAACCAGTATGGGGCTTCTTTTTGGGATGATGAAAATGTTCTGGAATTTAGATAGAGTGATGGTTGCACAACAGTGTGAATGTGCTGCATACCACTGAATTGTCCACGTTAAAAATGATGAATTCTATGTGATTTTACCTCAATTAAAAAAGGCATTGCTAGAAACTTTCCATGTCACAAGCCAAAGCCTGCAATTCTAGCCTCCAAATTCACCCACTAGGTCTTAAGAGTTCAGCCCATCCAGTGGCCCCCATTTACCTAAAACCAAGATCACTGGGGTCTTCTTGACACCTCCCGACAGCACACCCCCCACTAGGGCTGCCCAAATGGAGGGGCTTCCCAGAACAGACTGGACCCCTGCTCTCCACCCCACCTCTCACTTCACCTGCAGCCACTGTTGCAAATCCTCTTGGCATCTGCAACCTGGCTCAGATGTCCCCAAACATGCCCTGGGCATGCTCTTTACTCTTTGTCCTGTTTCCTTCCTTCTTGACAGGTCTGCAAATTCCTCTCTCCTATCATATCCCAGCTTGTGTCACTTCTGCCAAGAAGCGAAGTCTGGCCTTCCCAAGGGAGAATTAATTCCTCCCCAAACGTCCCTACACAGTGCAGAAATCAAGGATGCAGAGTCTGCAGCCAGACTGCCTGTGGTCAACTCCAGGCTACCCCATGCCTCATGGCATGACTTCGGGCCCTCAGTTATTCCATCTGTAAAATGGGCATGCTGGAGGTTTCTCACGGCTCCGGCAGGGATTAAATGTACCCACTTGTGAAAAGCACCCAGAGCAATGAGGGACACATAAACACTCAGGATGTAGTAGCTGCTACTGATACGTGTTTCTCTGCCATACTTATCACAGAGCAAGTTTCTCTGCCATTCTTATCACAGATACTTATCACTTGTCTGTCTTTGTGATCAGTCTGTGGGTCCTATAAGGGCAAAGCT